TAGGTGGTAAATACAGTTACCACTGGTCTTTAAAGTTTTAACGTGCAGAGTGTCTTGGTGTCAAGGTCATTATGCGGCGGTACTCAGCGGATGACAGTAACAAGACTTCTTGTGTTAAAGCGACAACACTTTATTAACTCTTTATCACCTGCGTGATATTACTGCTATTGCGAGTGTCTTTAAAACATACAGGCGTAACTAGGAGAGAATAATATTGAGAGTGATGTAAGGCAAGAGGAAAAGGCTAACGAATTTGAACCCTTCTACCAGAACATGAACGTTTCCGTCATCTTTTCAGTTCGCGCCTTATATTCCACAACGCGTTTTATTAATCACCCATCAGCTTTTGACGGTCTAAAAAGTCTTATACAGTATATTCTGTGAATGAAGGCGGAGGAGGAATATTTGGAATGAAACTTTATTATCTCCCGAGGAGTTTATATAAAACTGTGTATGGCTCTTTCTTAATTTTAAAATACAAGAAGAAACTGTTTTGAAAGAAGAATGAAATTAATATTTATTTTAATTGATGGGGGTAAGCTATACTGCTTCCATCTATTACAGCCCTGGTAATAGGGGCAACGGGCTCTTCCAAAACGTCGGTATAGATCTACAAGTCCACACGGAGTTACTACCCAGAAGACTGACATATATGTATATTCTTTACAACGCACATAACTTTTGCATTGGCATATCATACAAAGGAAAAGCTTATTTTCGAAATAATTCAAGAGTTTTCACTCTTTTAAGTTCTGTGCAGATATTTAGGTGTATAGACCTATTCTCAAATGCAAAGTATTTGCTGGTTAGGCCCATAGAATTGTTCAATGTAATTTATACAATTACTTGAGGAAAAGTTTTACATAGGCCTATAACGTAATTTCAGCAGAAATCGATAAAAAATGCCAGTCACGAGAAATGAATGCTGACCCTAATTGACGTAGGCTAAAACTACCTCATAAAATGCTCCTGGTTTACAGAGGTCTTTCTCACTGTGCAATGTTTCCGAAGGGGTGAGTTTTCGGTAGAAGAAATGTTCATAAAGTCCTATTCCTTTTGTTAAGTGGCAGCTGTAACACATGTTCAGTAGTTGTAAGACATCAAAACGTCATATTCTTGTAACGGTGTGGCTTTGCAGGGAACTAAACTGAATATCCACAGTAATCTGGCGTAACAAACGAGATTTGTTGTTCGGAGGATTGTATACAAGTTTATGGTGAATGGTGAGACCCAATTTCAGTTTTGTTCAGAACGAAATTCTCGCAGTCTTTGGAACGTGCTGGAAGAGAGAGCAATAGCTCACTTTCTGTCATAAACCTCCGGTCTTCTTGTCTGTCATGATCCAATCAGGTGTATAGTGTGATCCACAAACTGTTTCAATGTAACTTAGCTTCTTTTCGGTATTCAGTTAAAGAACATTTTTATGACCACAAAAAACACCTTCCTTCAGCTCCTAAATGTACGCCCAAAAACTTTAATTATGGAAAATAAATTCTTGGAAATCAAATTGTTTAAAATACGAATGCAGTTGGTACAAATACAAATAAACGTACTAATAAAAGCAACTGTAGTGCGAGAATTGTAGCCTATTTCATACTATTTTATTACAACGCTCAAAAACATGTTCTAGACACGTAACCACACAGAAAATGTTACATTTTAATGCAAAACGGTTTGGCGAAACTGACGAATGTGTTAACAGATGCAACCTACTTTTGAAGGTTATGAAATTTTAATAAATAATAATTTTAATGCATAACATCTGAAACTGGCCCATTTTAAGAAATAAAAAAAAACATCTAGCTATTCTGGAGACACCAACATTTGCGAACGGAATATTTGTTGCAATTTTTGTGACCAGAGTAAGGCTAGAACGTTGTCTTTTAAATTAATACTACAAAATGAAATGGCACAGAACTGTTTTCATCTTATTATTTTTGACTTTCAAGAGGGGTGCAAATGAAGAGTGGGGAAATAAAATTAACCGTAATAAAATAAATGTTAAATGCATTTGGTGCAAATTATCATCAACTGAATGTAACACCGGTATGTACCGTTCAAATTATTATTTAAACTTCAATAGTTGTCCTTTTTTATTTCGTATCCGAGAAATCAAGTTATACTCCAGGAGTGAAACATACCATCGAGCCAGCGAGGTAAGAGAAGTGGAAAAGAAAACGTCACTGTACCTCATCGGAAGTTCGAGGACCTCCATGGCATCCGATGAGTAAAAACATTTTTGGAGTAGTTGTACCAGACGATGAAGTGTAACCTGGAGGGTAACGATGAAATGAGGTTAGTCGTGACACAGTCTGTCACCAACAAGGAGTGACA